GGGAGCAGAAACTGACTGCTGGCACGGTAGACAATAAAGAATACAGAGATCTCTCCCTCACATTTCCTCCTCTTGGCTCCTTGGCTCTCCTGCGGTTTCCCTGTTTGACAGAGCAATAGATTGCAGAGTAATAGATTGTATCTCTGCAGCAGAACTAGCTCTCTGCAATCGTGTTGACACAGAATATAAATGAGTTTTGAGGACGTGATCCTTTATGTTTAAATGTAAAGTCCCTGCAGAACTCTGATCACATCTGAGACGAGGCTGAGGCGTGAAATCATTTTCACAACAACATGAGTTCAGAGCCGCCGAGGAGACGCTGCCTGTGAGAGGGGATTCATGCGTTTCACTTTGAAGGAACTATCTAGACTTTAGGAGCTCCAGTGTGTTTGAGGAGAGAAACTGAAGTTAAAGAAGACCACAGAAATGGACAGTGGTGCGTTCAGGTGCTGTTCATCACATTTTACTTGATTTAGCATTTTCTTTTTAATGAAGGTGTTTGTGAGCTTTAAGTCTTGTTAAGATTTATTTTAAATGATTTTTTTTTATATATAAAATCTCAAAATTCTCACTTTTTCTGAAAATGAAAAACCTCTCATTTATTCAGAAACATTTTAAATTCTCACTTTTTCAGAAAATCTCTAAATTCTCACTTTTATCGAAACATCAAAAAATTCAACTTTTTTCAGAAAATCTTAACATTTTGACTTTTTTCAGAATATCTTAAAATTCAAACTTTTTCAGAAAATCTTAAAATTGTCACTGTTTTCAGAAAATCTAAAAATTCGAAGTCTTCAGAAAATCTCAAAATTATCTTTTTTTCTCAAAAATCAAAAATTCTAACTTTTTTCAGAAAATCTCAAAATGCACTTTATTGCCTTGGAAACCTGAGCAGTGTGTGGGACTTTGCAGAACAACAAATATGCAGAAGGTCGACTGTTGACGTACTCATGAAACTGTCCTCTAATGTTTGTTAACGTTAGTCTAATTACATCCTGAAGGAGTGGAAGCAGCTCTGCAGGTCACACTGAGCAAAACTGAGCAATTAAAACCCTCTTCATCATCATCTACTCTTCCTCTTCCTTTGTGCAGGATTTATTTTCCGTTTCATATTTTAATAATGAATTCAAAACGCTGTGGTCCCCGCTCTGTTCAATATTCATGATGTAGACACAGATCCCCCCCAGAGGGCTGTGTTTGGACTGAGTCATATCCCAGTGAGCATGTTGGATACACACTAGATTATAATAAATAGCCCCCCTATCAGTGAATGGTACGGTCCACTTGTCTGGTTGTTTCCTCCATGTTAACGTGTGTTTCTGTTGGAAGGTACCACTCGGCAGCCCAGAGAGGGGGAGGTTCCCGGAGTGGACTACAACTTCATCAACGTGGGGGAGTTCAGGGATCTGGAGGAGAGCGGCCTGCTGCTGGAGAGCGGCACGTATGATGGTATGACCCAATAACACACACACTATACACACACTAACCACGGGGACTTAGACTTTGAGATGTAACGTAGTTCAATGAGAATTAAAAGCTTGTACTCTGCTTCTGTTAGACGTTTATTCAGGAGAAGAGAAGTTCTCGTGAAGCTGATTGTTTCAAGACGATATTAAATAGTGATGCGGGTGTTATCCGCTACAGTTCTTTATCGTATGGACGGTTCGTCCACACGAGGCCATAATGGAGCCGTGGAAATGGAGCCCTGAAACGATAACGCATCCCAACGTGGGAAGGTCTGGTAACGTAACGCTTGCGGCACCGTGTGTACGCCCTAAACGATCATAGCCTTCTTCTTTCGTGTAACGTTAGAGGTCCAACTCGGTGTCGTGTAGCCATGCCCGCATCTCTGGTCCTAGGTCGAAGAGGCTGGCTTCAGAGGGTGGTCTATATAAAGGGCAGATGGTGATTATATGGTCAGCGGTCTGCTCAGGGTCACCGCACTCGCATGCCGCACTGTCCGCCAAGCCCCACGTCTTCATCGATGTTTTAAAGCGACCGACCCCAGTTCGTAGACGGTTCAGAGTGGTCCACTGCCGGAGCGGTAGGTCGTCTCCTCCAATGGCGCCATCTCCTGGGTCCCAGATGTAACGGTGGATTCGGGAGGGCCCGGCTGACTCCCACTCCTGCTTCCAAGCTGCTGCCAACCATGCATCTCTGGAGATGTCCTCAGAGGTGGAGTTGAGCATCTCTTGTGCTGCTTTGTTGTAGGGGTGGCGGGACTTGAGTCTGCTTGGAGGTGCTGGTGTTATTGTGGTGTTGTGCAGGATGTGCCAGTCATACTTTTGTGCCTTCCTGGCCAGGGCGAGGGTGGCAGCCTCCCGTCGGAGGCCGGCCGGTGCTATTCCCGCGAGGACTGGCAAGAGGGACACAGGGGTAGGCTTTAAGCATCCAGTTATTATTCGGAGGGAGGTATTGATAGCCACGTCGACCTTTCTCGCATGAGGGCTTCTGCTCCAGACTGGGGCGCAGTATTCCGCTGCAGAGAAGACCAGGGCTTGAGTGGATATTCGCAGCGTCTTAGCGGAGGCTCCCCAGGTTGTTCCAGCGAGGCGGCGGATCAGCGCGACCCTGGATGTCACCTTGGCCTTGACTTCTTCCAGGTTTTTTTTTAAGGATAATGTCCGATCCAGACGCACTCCAAGATACTTCGGGGCTTGCTGGACCTCCAGACATTTGTTGTCGACGCGCACCTCAAGTTCACTTCTGGCTTCTCTGGTGCTAAGGTGGTATGCCGCTTCGACTGTCTTTCCGATGCTGAGCTGTAGACGCCACCTTCGAAGGTTTGCTACTAGTGTGCCCATGTCTTCGTTAAGACTCTCTTCCATCGCCTTCCACGTTGGTCGGCTCAGCATGATGGCAAGATCGTCTGCGTAGCCATACTTTCTGGATGCTGTATCAGGTAGGTCGTGGATGTAAACATTGAACAGCATCGGAGAGAGAACAGACCCCTGCGGTACCCCGTTCTTCAGTCTTCTGAGCCTACTGCACTGGCCACTGCTGGTCTGGAGGATGAAGCTACGGTTGGAAAGTGTCTCCATGATGAACTTCACCATGTGGCGGTCCGGTATTGTCCTCAGCAGCTTCAGGTGGAGTCCCCGGTGCCACACGGTGTCATATGCAGCAGTCAGATCTAGGTACACTACCCCAGCTTTCTCATTGTCCTGGAAGCTGTCCTCGATGTCCTGACAGAGTAGTGTTACCTGGTCTCCTGTTGATCTTCCACGATGGAAACCAGCTTGTTCCCGTGGGAGCTGTGAGTCCACCACTGGCTCGATGCGGCTATGGATCATCCTCTCCAAGATCTTGAATGGGACACAGAGCAACGAGATTGGTTTGTATGACTTGGGATCTTCTGCTGATTTATTTGGCTTCGGCAGAGCTATGACAGAGGCACGGCGCCAAGTTTTTGGGAGCTTTAATCTCTGGTAGCATGATGTATAGAAAGCACAGAGCCAGCCAGATGTTGTTGTGCTCTGGTGGATGACGAACTCCGGGTGGATGTTGTCACGGCCAGGGGATTTGCCTGGCTTGAGCTTGCTCATGGCCTCACTGAGTTCCTCTGCTGTGAATTCTCCCGAGAGGTTGGAATCGACACTGGCCGCTCCCGAGATGCAAGACACCTCACGCGATGTCAGTCGGGCAAAGGCTTTGTCAGCATCCGGGAAGCGGCCATTCTTCAGGAGCTGGGATGCGATGGCGTTTGCTGTGACTGGGCAGCTGTGGGGTGTTGTATTTCTGCCTGTGAGCTGGTTGATGGTCTGCCACGCCTTGCGACTAGAATGGGTGAAGTCGATTGATTCAACGACCTCTGTCCATCTGGCCCTGCGGGTGATATCCAGCTTCTTGAGCAGTGCTGCTGCAGTCACATCCACGTCTTCTCTGGAGCTAGCCCTCTGGTGGTCACACAGAAGGTGGCTGCATTCCTCATCCCAACCTGGGATGTAATTCCTGTTATAGCCACGTGGTATGGTCTTCTTTGCCGCACCCAGGAGGACCTGGCAGTAGGCTGCATAGGCCGCATCCAGGTCGGCTGTGTCTGGGTCTGGCAGGCCAGCTGACCTTCTTTCAGTCTCCTCAGCATACGACTCCCAGTTGGAC